GCCATTTAAGAGGATAAGGCTCGCTATTAATAGCTCGGCGAACCCAACCATATCTCTAAAATCACCCTATAGCTCAGGAAGAGTTGTATACACTAGCACTTAGCTAGACTATCCGTCGAGATAATAGCTTAATCATATACTACGCCTAAGTCTAACAACGATAACCCGCGACTCTATAAGATTATCAGATCTGCCGAGCGAATACTCTAAAAGGTATACGACTTAGTACCGGATTTACTCTATATCGATATACGTATACTTAATATATTCTAGGCTAGCACTATTACCTAAGATCCATTCTAGATACTATAGAATAAGCTATCATTTTATAATTATATTACTGTTTTTCAAGCGTTACTTTATTACTATATCCGCGTCTTTGAAGGTCATTTCGATCGAGAGATATTTACCGTTACCGATATCTAGACGGAATCTTTAACTTTAGTATTAAGCGTCTCTTAGAGATTAGCGGGACTACGGGCGAAGGACTCTAACGATCTCGCTAGCGAGGTTACTAGGGAAGATACCCATTCTAACGCCGAATCCGAGAAGTCGATCGATCCGCTATTACTTAAACTCGACTATTATCTCTTTATTTTCTATACTACGCTTATCTAGTATAAGGTGACTAAAGTATACGATAGCGCTATTATCTCGTTTCTCGCGGTACGATCCGTCATCACCAGCTACGAAGATAATACTATCACATTCCGTCCCGAGACCTAGGTCGCCGGTTTACTAAGTAAGTTAATCTACTACTATTAGCTTACTCTACTTCAAGACGCGCACTATATTCGAGAATTTCAATAACTTAATAATATAGAGAAGTCACTTCGAGAGCTCTATCAATATTAGGTAGTCAACAATACCTAAGGATCCATCAGTATAATAAGTGACTAACGGTTATATACGATACGAGTAGGCGATGCTACCATTCCCGAAGTACTAGTGATATAGGACGCCGACGGCCAGAATCTAACATACGATAATACTCGATATAGGATCGCTAATCTCGCGACCGAGATAAGTATCGCTCTCTAGGAGATAAAGCGTATCTTCCACGAGGAGCTCTATTTCGGCTTAGCTAATGTTCCTATATTTCCACTACGCGAGCTCTAAGATAATTAGTCTAACAATCAACTAGGATATAACTTTATTAAAGATCCCCGGAACGCCGTCTACTTTAACGGCTATCATAACTAGTTAATCTAATAGATCTCCTACCAGCCCGAATTACTAGATCTCGTCTTCTATACGGAGTAATATGAATTCGACGCGACTAGTTCGTAGCCCGTTCGATCTAAGTTCGCCCGATAGTATAAGATCTTCGACGAGTAGTTTAAGGAGGCTAGAATAGTAATACTCTATAAAAGGTCGGGATAGCCCGCCCGTCGAGTCGAGTTCTTAGGTATCCGTTAGCGAAATTCCGGGTTAGCCGTCCGTAATCTCCGGCTAATTTTTGAGTATTTATTATTTATTCTCACTTACTATAAGGCCTAGACTCGTACCTACGCTTCTCGCTCGCCCGTTCGCTTTATCTTTCCCAAGGTCGCCTAGCTCCTCGTGCAGTACTTAGTCATCGTCTAGCCGTTCCGTATCTTACTCTCTTAACAGTACTACATCCCCAAGTCGGTGGGTAACTATCTCTTCAACCGCGGTACCTAAACGTAGCCGGAGAAGCGGATAACCGACACACTCACGCGCTAGAGTCGCTAGAGTCTCGGACGAGCGATTTCGACTAAGGTCTGGCGCCAAATCGCGATAGCGATCGCCGTCAAGTACTTTAGTAGACTTAAGTTTGAAGGGGATACCGACATTACGGGCGACGATGATAACGATCTAGACGAAACTACCGCCGTCGATAGTATCTCGCTCCCGGCATCATTCCACGCGTAGACCGCTCATAGTGGATATACGGGTAATCGTATCTACGGCGGTCGGACTATCAACTTCGCCGGTCAGTTAACGGATACCGGTATATAGGTATATCTCTAGACTAGTCGACTTTGGTAGATACTCTTTAAGCGGGAGATTCGTTATCTACCCGCTGGTAAGCGTATCCGTCCCAGTTCTCTCCACGATTCCCGTGGACTAATATCGTCACTTGTCCGTAAGCTTGTGTATCGCACCCAGACTCGCCACTATGTTATATAGGGTACCGAGGATGTACGGATTGCGTTACGGTAACTTTTCCGAGATCCCTAGGCGTAGTTCAAGACGGCCGTTTAGTAGTAGATAGTGGAAACCGTAGCTTCGCGCTATCCCGAGGTCGTGGTGATCATAAAAACGGGCGGGGGTAAAAGTCTTGTATTTATAGTGCCCGCGCTCTTACCCTAGGCCGCTATAACGGTCGTGATTATGCCACTCGTGGTGCTAAAGTAGGATATAGTTCGACGATTCTAGAATATCTATATACTATATTCTATCTAGAGCGGTTACGGTAGTAATAAACGCTTTAACGGGATGCCGGTAGTGTTTATTTCGGCCGAATAAGCCGTAAAGTAGGTATTCCGGACGTAGATCGGGTTGTTAGATATTAATCGTCAACTAGACCGAATCGTCTTCGACGAGGCTTATCTTATTCTAACTTCGTTATCATATTGACCGAAGATAGCGCTATTACGCTTTCTACGCGAGTTAAGGTATACCGTCGTCTTTCTCACGGCGACACTCCCGCCCGTGATAATGGCCGACTTCTACTAGCGGATGTTACTTGACTAGCCCCGGGTGATTCGAGATATTATGTTCCGATATAATATTCGATATATTATATAAGGTTAGCCCGCCGAGCCGGCCGAGGAGATATTCGACGCGTAGGTAGTGTCTAAGGTCTAGTGCGTGTTCGCGGACTACGACGCTCAATTCCCCCACGCTCGTAGTATCGTCTACGTCGAAAACCGGGAGACGGCGGAGAGATTGGCTAAATTACTCGACTACGAGTTTTATTACTCGTAGTCTAGGATAGCGACGGAGAAAGACTACGTACTTTAACGTTAGCGGCGTAGGGATCACCAGGTGATTATAGGCACTAGCGCTTTTGGTATGGGCGTTGATTACGCCCACGTCCGTAACGTATTCCACTATAATTTACCGAGCGACGCGATTAACTTCTCTTAGGAGGTTAGTCGGATTAGACGGGATAGTCGATAGGGGGTTAGTACTATTCTACTTCCCCGACACGTACGGCCGGTGGACGACGCGTAGTGGGAGCGTGAGCGGTACACGATGATATTGTCGAAGCGGGTGATGTAGCGGTATCACTAGGCGCGCTATCTTTAGGCGGTACTTAGTCGGTACGTGGATAGCGCGGAGTATATATAGTACTGTCGCGAGGTCTACTTGAGATGTTCATTCTATCGACTTCACAGTAAAGCTGAGGATAGCGATAGGTTCTTTAATACGCGGGGGGCGGTGGATAGTACGTTATGGTAGGATACGGCGGAGACGGCGATCGATATTCACACGGAAGAGGAGACGGAGGATAAGACTAGCGAAGGTATAGCGGTCGCGGGTAAGACAGAGAACGACAGCGGCTACACATATAAAGCGGGCGGACGGCGACTTACTAAAGCTAAACGGAATAGTACTTATCGACTCCAGTAGTATATCCGGCGGTTAAAGTAGTACCGGGGGATTTACTTCATTTGCCGATTACTCCACGACGGCGGTAAGTTCCAGTATCCGTTATAGGCGTGTCAACGGTAGGCGAAGTTTCGATTCTTCGAGACCAAACGACTATTTGCGAAAAAGACTAAGACTCGTGAATAGATAACGGAGTACACGGTATACTGGGGATATGGGTAGTCCCCGCTACTCTACGATTCGGGGGGTGGGGTAGGCGGGTACGAGTTTCGCGATATAGCGCTGTCGGCGGCATAAGCGGTATTCTATATAGGGAATCGGTAGGGCGAGACACTAGAAGCGTTTAGCGGGTAGCGGGAGGGATTCCGAGGCGAGGAGGAGTAGATAAAATAGATAGGCGAAGAGGTAGGCTTATTCGGGGATCGGGCGATTCGGGCGGCGTAGATACTGGATAAGATACTAGAGAAGCTCGAAGAGGGTGAGTCCGGGGGGGGATAAGAGATGACGGTAGGGATTCGACATATCGCTAGCGGACCGACTCGGTTTCTAGATCCACGATAGCGACGACGGGATATTTCTATCGACCGTAGCGATAGAGGGCGACCGTAGCGGGATCCGAGGGTCGAGTGAGCGGGCGTGATATCGGGGTGGGCGGAGCGGGGCCGGGTTCATATGAGGCTGGGATTAATAAGGATAGTCGTGAGTTAGGCGAGATCGTGACCGGATGGATATTATTTACTTCTTTTCTATGTTGCTCGGTGGTAGATCGGCGCTTAGAGCCAGGGTTAGGGTTCCAAGTTGACGGGGTCAGGAGGGGTATATCGGGGGGGATAGGGTATTAATTAGCGACAGGGTATAGGAAGGGTACCGGGGTGACCCGAAAGCGACGAAAGTCGCTAGCCCGTAGGGCAACCCGTCAATGGTCGGGAGGGAGGGGCTCGCGGGTGGGGGGTTTCAGTAACCCTATCCAAGAGGACCCGGGAACGTCGCAGGATTCCTCGCGAGGCTGCGCGAGGCTAGCCAATCCGGCCGCGCGCCGGCGCCAAGGTGTCGTAGGATTCCGTCGCTATGTTCTTTTGACTTACTGGCCGCGCCCCCGTGATAATCGGGGTAAAAATGATATCGGCGTGCTCGCCCTTCTAAGGCGGATCGAACGGTGTATAGTATACATATCCAGTACGCCGCGTAGTAGAGAACTAAAGTTGTTAGGGGAGGTTAGGGTAGGCGCGACGTGGCCGTGCTTCGACGCCTAAAAGGGTAAAGAGGATTAGGGTTCAACCCTAAACAGTGTAGCTGGCTCTAGACGGGGTTCGCTTAGCCAGATCTAGGCTGGGGCTCTAATATGGCGGTAAGTGCTTCGTATCTACCACTCGATATAGTCTCGTCGCAACTGTGCGGTATTACCGTGGCTACGTATAATGGCCGAGGCACCCCAGGACGTGAACGACTTTATTCTCTTCAACGAGGCATATCAGATCTTTGTCTGCACACGCCACGGCTACGCCGTCACAGACATTGACCGCCATCTCCGAGTCGAACATGAAGAGATCCCATTACCATAGCGGAAGTAGCTTATCCGTCTATATCAGCACTAAAGAGCTGTGGCGTGGAATGCCGTTCGCACACCCCCGGCCTATTCAGCTCCCATCCTAGGACTTACCCCACCCGTTCCCGCGTTTCGCTGCCAATAATCGCGGTGTCCGGTGGTCAGTGCGCACATTAAAGGTATTGAGCGGCACGCCCGCGAGCAGTATCTGTGGCGAGCTTCGTAGTAACCGACGTTTTGGTCCCACGTTTTTACGTAGACGTAGTTCACGGCCGGCGGCAAACGGAAATACTTTGAAGTTCGTGCGCCCGAAGGGACTGCCGCCGCTACGTATACCCATGGTGCTTCTAGCGTCCGCACTGCTCGTGAGGCCGTGGATCGGACCGCTAGACCAGCCCTAAGCCAAGTACCCCCCACCCGGACGTCATTATCGTCGCCATATGCCGAGGAGAAACTGAAAGCGCTGCTAGCCGACGCCTAGGCTATGGATCACGAGCACGAGGCCAAGATGCAAGAGATAGATAAGGACGTACTAAAACAAGACCGCACCGGGTGGTATAGTCGCACTCAGTGAGTGCAGCATTTCCGCGACCGTAACTTGAAGTATCTAGCGTACGCCACCCGACTTCCCGATCGCGACGAAGACTATCCAAAATGTGGTTCATTATCCTACCCAGACTAATGATTACTCCCCATACAAAATGTATAGAACCCCTAACCCTAGTCTTAGCGGGTTAATTTCAGGATAATAATTGACTTCTCTTCAGACTAATAATTAGTTCCCGGGCGATTACTTAGGGTTAGGGTTAGGGTTAGGGTTAGGGTTAGGGTTAGGGTTAGGGTTAGGGTTAGGGTTAGGGTTAGGGTTAGGGTTAGGGTTAGGGTTAGGGT